GTTAAGATTACAGTGAATATTTTATAACATACCGGAAGGAGTGAAATTCCTCGATAGTTATTACAATCCGTCCTCGGACCCTTTTTGTGAATCGGAATAAGAATAGATTCTTTCCATTCTTCAGGTAATTTCTCGTTCACCCAGATCTTATCACCCAACCGATGTATTTTAGAAACTCCAGCTTCCCCGCATGCCTTAATTAGTTCAGTAGGAATATTATCGATTCCCGCTGCTTTATATGATTTTAATTTACCGATAGCTACTTCAACTTCCTCTTTACTTGGTCCTTCTATCAACGGTTCAGCACTCTGGAACTCAGAGGGAGGACACAGATCATAATTTCCCGTATTTAAAATATTGTCAAAGTGCTCCTTAAACTTATTCAATATGTCAACCGGATCGGTCAGAATATTGTTATTATCATCCCTAATTCCAGACGTTACGGGCCCTACATATTTACGTGATCTGTTTATACCTTTGTACATGTCTCTTACGTTATTTTCGATTCTATTAGTTTCTATTTCAATTATTTTATTTTTAAGATACTCCCTTTTTTTATTTTTGAGCAATTTTGTCGTTTCGTTCTTTGAGATTCGGAAGTATTCCAGATTGTCTTCGCTAGGATTATTTAGAGCTTTTAATTTAGCGGCTTTCCTTTTTTCGCACATGTTTAAGCAATCTTCATCAAACCACGGTTTGTTATTCTTATTTTCCTTTTTTCCTAGACACGAGTTACCGACCGCTTTAATATTATCCCTGATCTCTACCCATAACTTGTCAATATCCTCGTGGTCCTCGTCAGGAAGCTCTAAAGCTTCAAACCTATTCTTAACATCTAGCTCGAATTGGTTTCTAATTGATGGATTTTTTAATTTTTCCAAATTAAAATTCTCAAAATCGAAACGGTTTTCTTTTCTCTTTTTTATATTAAGTTTTTGTCGAAGTTTCGCGATTACTAATTCATGATCCGACCCACATTCTGCTCCGCGATAAGACCGTACATTGATTATACTGCTTTGCCAGCTGTGTTGTATCAAGACATGATCGATTTGATTTCGTGTTTGCGAATCCGGCGATGTCCAAGTATATTTATGAATATCCTTACGTTTAAACGTCGTACTTTTAATTACCAGGTTTTTCGAGATGGCAAAGTTTATCAGACGGATCCCATTATCATTACTATATTCGTGCAAACTTTCTTTACCAATCGTCTGAATATAAACTTCTTCCCTTCCTACCTTTGCGTTCGCGTCACCTACAATTATTTTCATGTAGTTTCGCGATAGTTTATCATAAACCCATTCGAGTTTATCGTAAAATTCACTTTTGACTTCATCGTCACTGTCTTCGCTCGGACAATGTATGTTTATTAATGCGATTTTAAACCAACGTCCCTGAAATGTAGCTACCGAAATTCTATCACTAAAGAATTGTACGTCCCTCAAAGCGGATAGTAATCTTCTCCTAATTAGAAACCCGGTACCTAAACAATGATTCCCGCTTCCTCCGTACCAAATAGTGTACTTTCCTTCCCTCATCGAGCCCTCCCCTGGCCAGCGAACCTCTTGCAGAGCCACGACATCCAAATTGTACCCATTTACCTCATTCGCGACTGATTTTAGCCCCCCTGCTGTGTTTAAACTCCTTACGTTCCACGTACCAATATTTAAATCCCTATATTTCAACTTGCGGCATGAATCCCCTAAAGCAGTCCCCACCCGGAGACCCGAACGGGGGACTAGTTTACCTCCGGATAATGAACGTTTTACCTTAGGGAGATCCATGACTTTTTGTGGTGTTTGGTGAACTAAAGATATGTGAGTAGGGCGTTCAATCCTACGTCACACCCTCCAGCAAGTCTGGTGGGCCCCTACCTCCAGCAAGTCTGGAGGTCCCCTCCCTCCAGCAAGGCTGGAGGGCCCCTCTCATTGTTGGTCAGCGAGTCCATCGGACTTAGCCGGGAGGAACTTCCAAGGAATTTCCACCGACCATCCCCACATCCGCCACCCGTGGGACGCTCCCCATACGCGGTGATGAGCCCGCGCGAGGCTCTCTCTCTCTCTCTCTCTCTCTATATATATATATATATATATATATATATATATATATATATATATATCTACGTATATGTCCACCCTATATACCTAGCATTAGTCTAGGGATAAATCAGAAATTTCAATATTAATATAAACACAAAGGAAACAAAAAAACGTCACTAAAGTTATGAGAAAAATTTATGAATAGTATTTAATTATTACGTCATTATTGAACCTTAACTAAATCAAATTTGAAAAACAATATAAAATTCTTGGTACTTAACTTGAAACAAGAGTTCAGAGAATCTTTATAAGGCTGGAACAAGCGAGTTCCATTCTTTCTCTTTTACAATTAAGAAAATATGTTATTAATTTTCTTCTTATTTTGTAACTATTGCTTTTTATTACGAATAAAACATATTACTAAAATTAAGATGAAATATATAATGTAGGCTACTTTTTTTTAGGTTCATTTTCCTTTAATCTATGGGACTTATTGTATATTGAAAAATAAAAATGAAATTCTGCGTGATTTACAATTTATGAAGATATTGAGTTTTCCAAGTAAAAGGGTGGAATTAAGCCTAAATGCCTTGAGAAAACATGTCAGTTACCTCAAAGTGTTTCTCAACAAGTAACTTTAGAATTTTTCAAACTCCAACTTTATCTGTTTCAAGTTTATAAGATGGCTATCTTCGGAAATACATTTTAATACGTATTTAAAAAAAATAGCGTTCCTAATACATTTAAATGTGTTTTAACTGTAAATAGGGGTGTGTTGACACATAAAGGTAATTTTCAATTGTCTCGTTTATGTTCTGTATTTAGAAAATATGTTCTACGGTTAATTGGTATTTAAATAGCTAATTAGAAAAAAATCTAAAACGCTGATTAAAAATTAATATTGTTTCTTGTTGATTTATTTGAACCAGAAATTATTAATTATTAATTTATTTTTAATTGAGAAGAAATACTAGCTTGAAAAATGTCTGGATGAGAAATCTCAATTTGTTCATATTCCTTTTCTCTCTTTTACATTTTGTTCTTCGTCAATCTCATTTCCTTTTAACTTACACAAAAGATGTTCTGTTGGTATTAGCTGACAACAATATCCTCTATTTACTATTCCAAATTCAAAAAATATCATAGTGATTACATAAAATTTGCATTTCTGATATAAAAAGTATAACTCAAGAATTATTGTTATTGTTATATGTAAAAAAATAAATAAATAGGATTTATTTATATTTGCTTTGTTACTTGTGACTGCCCACCCCAAATAACTACTTTTCATTTTTTTTATTCTATTCTGATTCTAATAATTTTGAGATTGTTTAAAGTTAACTAAGAGGTTATTTGCTTCACTTCTTTCTAGTTTTATGTCCTATCTACCTATTCGTTTATCATATTATATTAAGGCCCTGATATTATTTAAATATTAATATTACAGGAGTTCCTAGGGACGGGATAACTCAGCTAGAACCGGAGTCAGGAAAAAAATAATTAAATCTCCCGCTTGGGGCCCCTCGAAATTGGATCCAATTAATAGCCCATCGCTAAGAGACCTCCGATCAATTAATCTCAGTTGAAAGTTTTCAAAAGGGCCGAAGAGATCCACCCTCTTTAAATACAAAATCTTTTTAATTTTCCCTTTGCTTTATGGATTCCCTTCAGCTCAGTGGAGGGAGGGGATGGGGAGGGAAAACATCAAATTTTCATAACGTTAATGAACCAATCCATCACTCGAAGGGTGAACACATTTAGCAGACATTTCAGAAGATATAATTCATTTTTTCAGAATTTCTTGCTACTTTGAATTTTTCTGTATGCTTTCATTAATGTACTATTGAAAAATTTAATTCCAAAATTAAGAATTTTGTTTCATTTATTTTAATTATTTTCAATAATAAACGATTGTAATAGACCAAAAACTTAATCCTCTTCCCCTCAAAATTTGAGGGGAAGAGGGTTAAGTTCTGGATACGTTTTTCTGGATTCACGTTTCTGGATACTTGGAATTCGAAAATTGAATAAATGTTTTTTTTTATTCGTTCGCCGTCCGCCGTCTGCGCATTTTCTCCGAAACTACTGGACCGATTTTTTATTCTCAAATTTGGATTTAATTTCAGAGGTAACCCGAGGATGATCCTCTTACATCGAAATCACTATCCACCTTTTCCTTTCAAGATAGCGGCCGAGAAACCTTTGTTGCTATAGACTGTAGCGCCTAAACGAACGTACCGATTTCAATGAAAAGTGACTAAAGTTTTCTTCTCTATGCCTTTTAAACTTATCTGTATAATATAATTCAACGAAAAGAAGTTGAAAAAAGTTGCTAAGGATGGTAAAATTTGATTTCCCAATAACTCAAAGAGTATACACTTTTTTTTTTAAATATCACATAGATGAAAATTCTCAAAAGCAAAATGATAAAATAAGACAAATTTGTTTTCTAATGTCTGGAAGTTTAAACAAAACATGAGGGTGTTTTTTTGCATGTCTTATCATATATAATATATGTTTTCTATTACTTAACAAATCAGTTAGATGCATACAAATATATTTAATATTTTTTTTTTTGGGGGGGGGAGGTTAAATATCTTTAGTACATGTGAATATTATTGACAAACCATTTAATTTACTTTTAAAATAAGAAGATATTAAAAGAATAAGATGTTCGGGAATATAAATTTATTATACAATATAAGGAAGAAGTTTATATTATTTTTTACTTTACTGACTTTATTAATTGTTTATATTATTTCTTTGTTTTTATATTATTATAAATAGTTTTGAATATTAGAATCATTCAAAATTAAGAAATAAGCATTATATTTAAACATTTTTTTCTGCAATGATATTATGAATTATTAACCACATTATAAACCTATAACAGTTTTATAGAGAATATACGTTTTTACCTTGTTTATTTACTTTGTTGCAGGTTACATAGAAGAGGACTACATGAGGGGCGACAGAGGCTCGAACGAGGTGAGCTGCCACGACGGGGGCATCCCGATCTTCAGGCTGCGGAGCGTGGAGGAGACGGAGGCGGCGCACGACCTCCTGGAGCTGAGCCGCTCGCTGCCGCCGCTGCCCGCCCCCGGCGTCACCCCGCACTACTCCCTGCCCCAGGAGCCCCTCTACACCCACAGCGCCCAGCCGGTCTACCACTGCTGCGAGGAGGTCCAGCACCCGACAAACCAGCCACCACTCACCCCGCCCAACTCAGAGTACTCTTCCGACGCCGAGAACAACAACCCAAACCAGGCACCCAGTTCAGGAGCCAACCTTCAACCCGCCGTCTACACCTACGATGCTCTTCTAGTCACCGACGGCAGGTCCAAGAACCGAAAAGAGCGGAAGACAACGGGTAAAGTGGCTCCACTCAGTCCCATATCTTCAGACGACGGCGTGACGACTGAAGCAGAAGAAAACCCTTGCGATAAAGGCGGACGCTACGTCTGTTCCGAGTGTGGTAAGAAGTACGCGACCTCCTCTAACCTGTCGAGGCACAAACAGACACACAGGAGCCTCGATTCCCAGTCGGCCAAGAAATGCTTGACCTGCGGTAAAGCTTACGTTAGCATGCCGGCCCTCGCGATGCACCTCCTGACGCACAAGCTGTCACACGCTTGCGGAGTTTGCGGGAAGCTGTTCTCCAGGCCGTGGCTGCTCCAGGGACACCTCCGCTCGCACACCGGGGAGAAGCCGTACGGGTGCGCCCACTGCGGGAAGGCCTTCGCAGACCGGTCCAACCTGAGGGCACACATGCAGACCCACTCGGCCGACAAGAACTACCAGTGCAACAGGTGCCACAAGACCTTCGCCCTCAAGTCCTACCTCAACAAGCACCTCGAGTCGGCCTGCATAAAGGAGGAACAAGAAGGAGTCGACGTCACTGTAGTGTTCGAAAATGTCCGGTCGAGTTTGCAGGTTCAGTAGCAGCAAAGGGACTTCTCTGTGATACAATTCGCAAAGAGAGGTACACACCAATGAAGGAGAACATTCGTGATATTTTATGCAATATGGACGATTCACACACCAAAGTGGACAGTGATATATACACAACTACAAATAAATTTATATATATGATATGTACTGTATTATATATAATAATTATATATATATAAGTATATGAATATCTGTTTTAACAATATTGATTCATTATTACTAGACGGAAAAACATGAAAAATTTGAAACATCCATATGAACAACCATTGTTATGTATTTTCGTCTTTATCCGAGCAACGATAGAATTAGATTATAAATAGTAATTGATAATATTCATAGAACTATCCAATTAATTTTTATAAATGATATATATTTAAATGGATATATATTAAATACCAGTTTTGATATTTGTCAATACATAACGTAATCGTTTAGCCTATTGACCTGCTCAAAAAATTTGTTTGTTGTAATAAGCAGAAATACTCATATTTATCTAATTAAAAGAGATTATTTAAAGAATATGGATATGTCGGTATAATATTTTATAGACTGGGGTTAATAACTGAGAAATAAAGTTTATATAGCTATAGGTATTTTTGGATATGATATGTGAGTATATATTCCTACAATACTGTGTATCTAGACATTAAAATATAGCACGTCGTATAATGCTACAATAATTTTCAAATACGTTTACAGCATTTTATTGTTTAGTGGCTTAACTTGACAAACACCATTTTATTTGTAGGTTAAAACTGATCTTGCCTACTTCTTTTATAACGGGTCTGTATTCCTTTTAAAGTATTGAAAAAAAAAAAGAAGAAAAGAAATGAAAAAAGAAAGTGATTACTGGTTTTAAAAAAATATAAGAGTAAATAGGCTATTGAAAATAGTCATTATATGATTTAAAAGGGAATATAATCTAGGAATGTGTGAATGTATGTTAAAGATTGATTGTATTTTAATATAATTTGATTATACTAGTCGTTACAAGCCTAAATAAACCTGAGTACTTGTAAATAGGATTTTTAAAAATTGATGAATATATTTTTGTTCTTTCCAATGTGAAACGATTTTCTGCTTAAAGAAGTGTGATTGAATGTAATTTAAGGTATTGTACATAGCTAACTGTAATGAACTACTCCCAATAACTCTATCTATAAGCCTAAAGAGCCACACGTCCCAAACTTCTGTTTAGATGTTTATATTTATAGTGATAATTTTGTGAGACATGAATCTGTAAAGTACGTGTTATCAAATGTTTTAAGAAAAAAAAAACGACCAATTAGAGTGTTTTTGACAGATGTTAATTAATGTTTATACTTAGTTCAATTGTGAACACGTTAAGTCCTAGTGCCCGTTGGGAGGCGGGCCTTAAAAAAAAAATAGTGTTGAAATTATTTTGCTGGTGAATGTATAGTTGGCCTTAACTTAGTTTTTGTTTTTGTCAAAAAATAAAAAAAGCCTATCAACAGTTGTGAAACAAATTCTAGTCATTAGCTCATACTTTGAGTGCTTAGTGTTGTTTTTGTTGTTGTTGGATGAGAAAGTGCTGCGATTTTCAAATACAAAAATAAAACATTGTATTAGATACATCGATGTAGATATATATGCACAAAATTTTGTGGGAACGCATATATATCTGTATTGAATTTTATAAAGGTTTACGCTTAATATTATTAAAGGGAATAGCTGTCAAAGTATGAGCTTTTTAGAGTGCAATGGAAAAACAAATGTATAAAAATAAAAATTTTTATTATTTTGTAATGATAGTCATATAAATATTAAAATTACCAAAGAAAAATATATATTATTTCTGATATTTTAAGGATGACCCTTCTCCTTGAAAAAAAAAAATACAAACAAACAGAAAAAAATCGCTTAAAACTCATGATCCATGGCATTTTTGGTAGACTGGTAGAAAAAGCTTTATAAGGACCAAGTTTTTACAACCAACGGGGTATTATACTGAGGCCGATCGGAAAGTTGGGAACGAGATATTATCAATATTAAATAACAACTTACTAAGAACTTTATGAAGGGAATTGGCTCATTCAATATATCTTATATATATAAAAAAAAAGATCTATTAAATAGGAAGAAAAAAAAGTTCAAAGAATGGGTGGGCTCACATTTTCCGTTTGATTACATTCATCGACTTATTTGCATAATATATCGATAGCTACACTGCAAAAGACTGTAAGCGCATAACATAAAATTATATATAAGACGAAGTATACAGTGTATTTGTTATTATATGAAGTTGATTTTCCTTTCAATTTTCATTGCATGCTTAAGAGAAACTTGTTTTTTCCTAATTGTTTTTAAGAATAGACACGAGGCCTTAATTAATCGGGAAAGCTAAAAAATGTACATTCTAACTAAATTGTACTTACAGACTTTGCCGCGTGGCTGTCGATATATTGCTAACACACAAGAAATGAACTTATTGACTTAACAGTAATATTTAAATCGCATCAAATTAATTAATTAAGTTATACATAATTATTCAATTTATGAATTAGTTAACTTAATTAAATATGATAAACTATAAAATGTACATTGATCCTGTTGTTTAACAAATGTTTCCATCATGGTTGTTTTATGCTATCAATGAGATCCTCTTCAATGCTAGAACAATAAATAGCTTAATCGGTACACAATTATGCTTACATGTGTTTCAAAAATACAATTATTTCAAAATTGGCTTACCTTAAAACACAGCCTCGATACCTCACGGATATACCGACAGTCTCAGCACCGTTTCAGTGTATCAGGATTTGCCCTGGAACCAGGGCCCAAAAATCGACCCAAACATCGCAGGCGAAGATTTGGTTGTAAATTACGAAAGTGTATATTATTCTGAGTAAAAATCTTGTCTGCCGTTCCAGTGCTGCTGGTTTAAAACAAGAAAAATTGTGAAAAGTTTTTATTTTTTAAACTTGTAAGAATGGTTTTAGACAAGTCAGAAGCAAAAACCACCAAGAGAAAACTTATTGAAGTGTTTTTTCACCTATAACTCCTAAACGATGCATCAAAACGAAAAATATATAATTTAATAAATTAAACAATTTTAATTTGTTTGTCGAACTAGTATATGAACTTTATTATTTGGTTACGTGTTGAGGTATAAAACCAAGGTCAACCAACGCTGATTTTTAACCAATTTGTCAACAACTCAGACAAATTACTATAAACGGCCCTGTGATTTGGAAATGATTTCTTTAAGAGGGAAATCCCATAGAATTAAAGTTGTTGAGCATCAAATTTTGCTTCCACTGAGAAATGACATTTTGATTGTAGGCCAATTATATATCTCGGATCGGGATTCGAACCGATTTTATGCGGAGCAAGTGACATACAGTAAATTAGTTGGTACTCACTGGAAGCAAAATTTGATGCTCTACAACTTTGACTCTATGGGATTTTCCTCTTTTTCTTTTTGAGGGACTCATTTACAAGTTACAGGGCCATTTACAATAATTTATCTCAGTTGGTTGATCGTAGTTTTATACCTTACCGCGTAACCAGGTTATAAAGTGTATGTACTCGTTCGACGCACAATTTAAAGTTCATTAAATTATTTAAGAGTGTATTTTTCACTTTTATGCATCGTTTAGAAGTTATAGGTGAAAAAATACACAAAAAATTTGACTTTTATGGCTTCAAAAAGTTTTCCCTTGGTGGCTCGCATTAGCAATTTTGTTTTTTACAGGTCTAAAAAAAATAAAACTTTTCTCACATTTTTGGTTATGGATTTATTGTTTTGATTCTTAAATGACTGGCCTTATATTCTTTAAATCAGTCACGATTATTTAAACCACCAGCCCTAAAACGGCAGACAAGATTCTCTTTACTCAGAATAATATACACATTCGTCATTTACAATCACACCTTCGCCTGCGATTGGGTCTATTTTAAAAGTATGTTGAATTTAGAAATAATTGTTATTTGAAACATATGAAAGCCTAATTGTGCACCGATTAAGCTATTTGTAATGTCTAACATTGCAGAGGATCCCATTGTTAGCATTAAAAAATCGGGATTGAAAAGTCGAATAAATAACAGGATCAATGAACGTTTTGTAGTTAATTGAATAATAATTAAGTGACCTAATTCCTAAATTGAATATGATTATGTTAAAATATAATACTCAAAGGTAGATGGAAACAATTTTGTATATAAATATATATACATATATTTTGTTTCGTTCAAATATGATAATCTTATTTAGCTACGCAGGTTTTTTCTGTATAATATAGTCTTGATTTTTTTTTTTTTATCGTTAATATTTTTTTCACAAAAACTGTGTGAGCCCATTCCTTAAAATGCACTTGTTTTGTGCGGCCACGTCCATTAAACCCAGTGTTCACGCGCTTAATTTTTCAACAACAAAAAAAAATATATATATATATCATAAAACTAACTGAAAAAGCTTTTAAATATAAATTTTCCTATAACTTATAGCGGTTCCACGCTTGTCATTTTGCTAATAAGACTTAGATGGCATATGTATTCTCTCCATTTAATATGCTGTGAAATGATGTAATTTATAATGTAAAGGCGATTATATAGAATTATATATGCATATAAGTATTTATAAAATTTATGAATAAATAAAAAAAAAAAAAAGGAAGCATGATATATTTTACAATGAATTATATACTGTCCATTTATTAAAATTATAATATTTGCATGCTGAATAGATGATCGGTAGGAATTTATTTAATAAAATAAACAACAACCAAAAAAAAAAAAAAGTTTTATATAATAGAAAGAAACAACGAAAGCCATGGATCATCATTTCTTGAAATATGAACGATAATATTATGGGTGTGATAAAAGAGTTAAACTGGAAATATGTCGAGGAGGTGGTTAGTAATAATTGGCAATAAAATAGCAATATATTGTAATGTAATGTTTATTTATTTTGTGTACATTTATTTATTCCCGTTCCCTCCTTCCTAGGTTGGTGATTACAGAGATAGAAAAAGTTTTATAAATTATACTGAAAATTGTGCATTATTTTAAAGGATAGACACCAAATCCAAAATCAAAAACAAAATAGGACAAACTAAGTATTCATCCTTACTGATGAAAATATATTTTTTAACGAATCATAAGGAGGTAAAACCAATTTTATTAGTTAACGAACCGGAAGAGAGATAAATGTGTTAAAAAAAAATTGAGTAAATAAATGAAACCATTAGACAAAAGAGTTATTTTATTTCATTTATTTTTTTAAATGTAAAAGCAATCAATTTAAATTATCTTCAACATCGGTAATTCCTCCCTAAAA